AGGGAGATATAGACGACAACAATCAAGGGAGATATAGACGACAACAATCAAGGGAGATATATACGACAACAATCAAGGGAGATAAAGACGACAACAGTCAAGGGAGATATAGACGACAACAATCAAGGGAGATAAATACGACAACAATCAAGGGAGATAAAGACGACAACAGTCAAGGGAGATATAGACGACAACAATCAAGGGAGATATAGACGACAATAGTCAATGGGATATAGACGACACCAATCAAGGGGGATAAAAACGACAACAATCAAGGGAGATATAGACGACATCAGTCAAGGGAGATATAGACGACAACATGCAAGGGCGATACAGACGACAACAGACAAGGGAGATATAGACGACAACAGTCAAGGGAGATATAGACGACCACATTCAAGGGCGATACAGACGACAACAGTCAATGGAAACATAGACGACAACAATCAAGGGAGATATAGACGACAATAGTCAAGGGAGATATAGACGACAACTTTCAAGGGAGATAAAGACGACCACATTCAAGGGAGATATAGACGACCACATTCAAGGGAGATATATACGACAACAGTCAAGGGAGATAAAGACGACAACAGTCAAGGGAGATAAAGACGACAACAATCAAGGGATAAGTAGACGACAACAGTCAATGGAGATATACAGACGACAACATTCAGCGGAGATTTAGACGACAACAGTCAATGGAGATAAAGACCAAAACAGTCAAGAACAGTCAAGGGAGATATAGACGACAACAATCAAGGGATATATAGACGACAACAGTCAAGGGAGATAAAGACGACACCAATCAAGGGAGATATTGACGACAATAGTCAATGGAGATATAGACGACAACGATAAAGGGAGATAAAGACGACAACAATCAAGGGATAAGTAGACGACAACAGTCAATGGAGATATACAGACGACAACATTCAAGGGAGATTTAGACGACAACAGTCAATGGAGATAAAGACCAAAACAGTCAAGGGAGATAAAGACGACAACAATCAAGGGAGATATTGACGACAATAGTCAGTGGAGATATAGACGACAACGATAAAGGGAGATAAAGACGACAACAATCAAGGGAGATATAGACGACAATTGTCAATGGAGATATAGACTTCAACAATAAAGGGAGATAAAAACGACAACAGTCAAGGGAGATAAAGACGACACCAATCAAGGGGGATAAAGACGACAACAGTCAAGGGATATGTAGACGACAACAATCAAGGGAGATATAGACGACAACAGTCAATGGAGATATACAGACGACAACATTCAAGGGAGATACAGACGACAACAGTCAATGGAGATAAAGACCAAAACAGTCAAGGGAGATAAAGACGACAACAATCAAGGGATATGTAGACGACAACAGTCAAGGGAGATATAGACGAAAACAGTCAAGGGAGATAAAGACGACAACAATCAAGGGAGATATAGACGACAATAGTCAATGGAGATATAGACGACAACAATAAAGGGAGATAAAGACGACAACAGTCAAGGGAGATAAAGACGACACCAATCAAGGGGGATAAAGACGACAACAGTCAAGGGAGATAAAGACGACAACAGTCAAGGGATATGTAGACGACAACAATCAAGGGAGATATAGACGACAACAGTCAATGGAGATATACAGACGACAACATTCAAGGGAGATAAAGACGACAACAGTCAATGGAGATAAAGACCAAAACAGTCAAGGGAGATAAAGACGACAACAATCATGGGAGATAAGGAGATATAGACGACAACAGTCAAGGGAGGTAAAGACGACAACAATCAAGGGCGATATAGACGACAACAGTCAAGGGAGAAAAAAACGACAACAATCAAGGGAGATATAGACGACAACAATCATGGGAGATAAGGAGATATAGACGACAACAAACATGGGAGATAAAGACGACAACAGGCAAGGGAGATAAAGACGACGACAGTCAAGGGAGATAAAGAATAGACGACAACAGTCAAGGGAGATAAAGACGACAACAGTCAAGGGAGATACAGACGACAACAGTCAAGGGAGATAAAGACGACAACATTCAAGGGAGATAAAGACGACAACAATCAAGGGAGATATAGACGACAACAATCATGGGAGATAAAGACGACAACAGTCAAGGGAGATAAAAACGACAACAATCAAGGGAGATAAAGACGACAACAATCATGGGAGATAAAGACGACAACAATCCAGGGAGATATAGACGACAACAATCAAGGGAGATATAGACGACAACAGTCAAGGGAGATAAAGCAAAAACAGTCAAGGGAGATAAAGACGACATTATTCAAGGGAGATAAAGACGACAACATCCAAGGGAGATAAAGACGACAACAATCAAAGGAGATAAAGACGATAACAGTCAAGGGAGATATAGACGACAACAGTCAAGGGAGATAAAGACGACAAATATCAAGGGAGATATAGACGACAACAGTCAAGGGAGATGAAGACAAAAACAATCAAGGGAGATATAGACGACAACAGTCAAGGGAGATATCGACGAAAACAATCAAGGGAGATATAGACGACAACAATCAAGGATGAAAACACAGATTTATCCTGACCATATTGCGTTATAAAAATAACAACTGGTCATCCGCTAATATTTTTATTTCCTATGTACTGTCCTTAGATAAACAGCCTAAAACATTGTCAATAATCCACAGCAAGAACCATCACACTTGAATGTTTTTCAATCGGGGACCAATCATGACGTAAATGCGCATCATGGAATATGTTTTAACGGGACTGTGTTGCATATCATTATAAATGTATAGATGCATTTTAAACCTTAATCAACGTTTTTGAAATTTGTTTATTGTCCTTTATAACGCATCGGTATTGCCGGTTAATTTGATAATGCTCGACAAGATATTTTGTAAGTTTGTCGGAAATGGAAATGCGTGTTATCGGATCATAATACCAGCTACTTATATATTATGCATTACTTATATACATAACTTTATTTAGTTATTTAACGCTCTTAACATCAGTTAGTCGAATTTTCGAATAGCAAAGACAATCAGCTCAATGACGTCACAATAATGGTCTCCAAACACGCATTATATTATTTATATGTTGCAACAGGAGACTGAGTAAAACCAGAAAACACAACTCTCACCATTTCTGTCACTACTTAATTCCACTAACCCTATAATCTCCTCTTTCAGTTAAGTTAGTATGACCTATCCTTTATCGGACTTGCTTAATTTCACGATTTGAGTTTTTAAATATTTTTCGCAAGTATTGTAATTACCTTTGACAATATACACACTCCCTAAACCAGCAGACCCGAAATCTTCGGGAGCTCTCGTTCTATTTCAATGGTTAGGAACATTTCAATTGTTAATGAATGTTGTTTATCGTTCAACTTCATCTGATCAAAGTTTGAGATTAAATCCATACATTTGTTAAATAGCACGTGCGATACAAATAATGAATTTCGCAATATCCTCAGGTGTTTGTGCACCCGTGCCGCATTACATGTACGGCGTAAACAGACACAGCCTGCTGAATTATTGAAGTAAAACCGTCTTCAGAGCACATAAATAGGTAATAACGACATTTACTCCCTGGCCATCCCCGGCAACCCTCCGCGTGATTGCGCGTACATAAAGCCTCCCCCACCTTTTTACCCATGCTTGAACTTCTATGACCTGAACTTATTAATTTTTCAAACCGTTTCTTTTATTGCATATTCTGGCCTGGTACATCGAACGTCTTCCGAGTAAATATGTTTGCTGGAACACCGCCTGAGCCGATACAATACGCCTCTGTTTACATCAAAAAGCTGACAGTGTTCTATGTGACTGATATATATATAATAACAAGAAACGTCGTTAGACCGGAAGTTGTGTGTTCCAGAAAACGAAATCTAGACCGAATAACAAATTTCCGGACGTAATAACAAGAAATGTCGTTAGACCGGAAGTTGTGTATTCCAGAAAACGGAATTTAAACCGAATAACATATTTCCGGACGTTTTAGATACAGGAAACTTTGATGGTCATTGAAAAACAACCTTGTCCTGAATATTAAACGTCCGGAATACTCCGGTTCATAATTATAAGGGCCCGGATTAAAAGATTCCACTGTATCTTGTTCATGGTCTCTTATACTGCAATATCTCTGCATTTATATGCTGGTTCATCGTATACTCCGGCTTCCATGCGGTGTAATACCACAATCAATTACATTTTTGCTATACAAAACTGTGTAATATTACTGATTGTGACGTTACAATGATCAATTTATATAATTACCTATGCATGATCTGATTTTTATTTAAGGTTCGCCGATCTATAGTTTATCGATCCCATGTTTCTATTTTTATCTTGCACATGACCATATCAACCTTATGTTTAAAAATGTAGATCCGCAATTTCATTCCGAAAATTACCGCTTGATTCTCACTTTTGAAGATATGATACATATATTATAAAAATTAAGGTCTCTTGTCTCGGTTAAACCGTCGTTAGCCCGAGGTTGATATTACTCTATCAGGTCTATATAACAAAGTATCAACCACGACAAAAGTCCATAATTGAAAAAAATATATATAGACTCCACAAATTCATGATAAGGACAAAACTAGAACAGTTTCTTTATGGTTCGTTCGTTCTAAATACTCATTAATATGTAGTTGTAATTGCTCTGAATATTAGTACGATGAAAGGTAACTGTTTCATATCCCTCTTACACGAACCTTCCTCCGGAGATCAATTTTCACCGCACTTTATATTAATCATATTGAACACCTTGATACAGATTTAATAAGATTTCAGACCGCGTCTGTTCGGAACGTTAATCCATAAGTTGCTTCTTATATATACACGTAACTGTTGACCAAAGTATGGAAAGGAATTACGCTGTAACACAATTTTAAACAAATTATATGCTTCGTGACAAAATAGACGCAGCGGTAGGGGCACGTACAAATGTAGCCGTTATACATATGATCGCCCCTGTTGTGTACAATATATCTGATGACGTAGCCGTTTAGTACCTAGTTGGACTGCCACACCGCAAGTGTTTACCGTAAGTATATAAACTAAAGATGCACGTGTTCATATCACACGGACTCCGCGACAATATTTACTTAAATGTTAAATTACTACAACAAATACGAAAACTAGTCAACATGTTGACTTTACTGAGTACGCTAGTAGAGACACGTAATTTACTGTGGTAAGGCCACGACTAACAATAGTGGAAAGTCCCTAGTTTGGCGACGTCAGTGTTTTATCTTGCCAATTATTATTTTCTACAACAAACTGTATCTAGTTAGCAAGCTAAATACAGTTTTAGTGCGCACGCACTTACTTTGGTCCGTGTCGTATTTTTTTGCATACTTTGGTGACGTCATTTTGGTACATTTCGTGTTAATTGACAATAAAAACAGGTTTTATTTGACTAATAGTATCTTATAGTTGCTAAACTAATGCTTCGCGCATCCACCAATTACACGCACTGATGGGTGTGCGAGCGTTGCTGATTCGGGCCGTGTAATGACAGCATGGTAAGCAGGTCATGTATGTGTGTGTAATTTGCGATGTAATTATGACAATGTTGTTTGCCAGGAAAATTGGTCCGTCCTACGTGACTGGATCGTTACTGATGTCCATTCCGTGTTTTGATACACGTCTAGTGGTATGGAGAGGGGTCGCCGTGGCCCAGTGGTTAAGGCATCTGACATTCTTCTACCGCTAAAGCCTTCCACCGCTGGGTCGCGGGTTGGAGACCTACGTGGGGCAGCCACCAGGAACCGACCGTTGGTCGGTGGTTTTCCTCCGGGAACTGCGGCTTTTCTACACCATCAAAACCTGGCACGTCTTTAAATGACCATAGCTGTTACTAGGACGTCAAACACAAACAAACAAATCAGTGGTTCGGTGTACAAGTCAAAGAGAAAATAAATCTTCAGAATTGTTTATGACTCCGAACTTATTTTCGAAATCAAACATTTTATGACGCAAGACTAATTCAAACTGGTTTATTGAAAATTGTACAGGATACAGTTCATACCGTCTTTCTTTCTTTATTGTTAACTGCATCAATGTATTATAATGTTCACATCGAGATGTAAATGTAGTCAATTAAAATGTATTTCGTATTGCAATACACAACAAGTGACTCAATGATTGACTAAATTAACTACATTATAATGAATAAGTTAACTTATTAGTGACTGAATGCGCTAATTGATTAATAAAATAAATGAATGAATGAACAATCTGATTAAAATCATCTGTTACTGCCACGGTCAGGGTCACGTTCAAGTGACCTTTAGATGAACCAATCAGGGGCGCGCTGGCAAAAGTTTGCCAGCGAATCGGAATATCATGGTTGATAGATAAATAGCGAGGGGTGTCGAACAGATTTGTTTTCCAAAACAAATATGGCGGCGGGAACTGACGTTTCTACGACGCCAAGGAAAACGTACCCATTGGGTAATGATTGCGTAGGCAACACCGCCATACCGTCTTTCTTCTCTAAGAAAGCTTCGAATATCTTTTTTTTGTTAGGGTTTCAGACGATCAATCTCAAATAACTTCAGAACTTTCGCATCATTCTCATCAATGTCCGCCATATTTGTTACAACTCCGAGCGCCCTTTTGAAAAAGGGTCTCTGATTGGTCAAAATTTAATGAGTATTTATAAATATAAAGGTCACCTGAACGTGACCCTGACCGCGGCACACTCAGATGTTCAGGCGTAGTACGAAGTTAACGAAGCCATGTAACATATGATTTTAATCAGATTGAATGAATGAATTATTTTAATTAATTAATGAATTATTTGAGTAAATGAATACATTGATTGTATGAATTGAATGAATGCCTGAATAAATGAATTATTTAGACAAATGAATGAAATGAATGTGTGGTATATTTATCAAGGACCTGAGGCAAGAGCTGACCATTTTGAGCCAGGTCACTTTTTGTACCTAATGGACACACGTAGACACTTTACACCACCGGAAGTGTTTAATCGCCAGTTTTCACTGCCGGAAGTCAACGCAATTGATTCTAGAAGAAACTGCCAAGTTTTTAATCTTCCAACGTAGACAAGGATTCGTGAATGGCTTTTACTAACTGGTAGTATTTGATTACCGATTACCCTGAAAGCTCGACTCAATGGCTATCGCCCTACAAATGTGTGTTCTCGCTCACCTTCTGAAAGGTATTGGTAAATATGAAGAAGGGCGGGGTCAGGCACGAGCGCACGTGTAATCTAAGTAGCACAAGATACACTTACATTAAACATTGCAGTGTACCGCCAACATTTCATACAGTTGTTGACTATTTCCAATTTTCACATACATGTATTCTATTTTTGCAAAAAGAATTCTAAAAGTGACTGATGGTATGTATTGGTCGTGTGACGTCAAATAAAGCGAAAGGTTGCCTAGCAACGTAATTCGCTTGGTGCGGTCTGATAAATTGTTTTGATCTAAAAAAATATATATCTAAATGTATTCGTTTACCGTATAACGTACCCACAACCACACGCACATAACGCTGTGCATTGTAATAGCCATTCCTTGCAATGGGCTCCTTCTGGGATAACGTTTACGAGGAATTATATGAATACATGCATTAGATTCTTACCTGGTCAACGTTTTACATTGATAAAAATGTGTTATATATATTCAATCTCAGATAACCAACTGATAACACAGCGTTATCAGTGGGTTATCTGTGATATCAATGATTTAACAGTGTTATCGGGGCTGTCTGCATAATATACGTCACAACATATCTACAACCTATCTGTGATAGCTATACATAGCGCTGTTCATTATACTTACAATACTGCCAACCTAACCTATATGGTCCCAGTACATAAATAAATGTAATTAGTTCACCTAGTACATACATGTCTTTATCTAATTTGCAATAGGCAACAAAGCCTTTGCGCTTTACACTCATTTAAACATTTAAACGTGACAATGACATGACGGTTATAATAAATACATTTTTGCTCTCAAATATTGACGGCATTTACATGAATTGTTATAGCCACAAAATAACCCACATTTACATGGAACATATTCATTCACAAAAGTAAGCATGAACACAGGATGCAATAGACTTTAACAAAATATTAATGCGAAGCGAAGGATGCAAAAAATAAAGAGTTACACATTAAAACAAAATATGTCTAATTTCATTTGCTTTGTAAATATACATAGCTTAATTTCGAATACACATGTGTATATGTATTCACAAAAGGCAATTATGTATTCAGTTATATCCTGTATAGCTACGCATACACATATGTGGGCAATACTCTATATAGATACGCAACACACATATGGGCAATAGCGTATTCATTTATATGGAATATTATACAAAGTGCATTCACTAATTTGCCTGCTCAAATATTAACTTGAGCAAGTCTATTTTTCTGACCTATCGTTTACGTAACGATGTTCAGTGTAAATTTGTAAATCGGCAAAACGTTGGCCCATCACGTTGGAACAATGATGGCTTGCGTGCCGAATATCATACCGTTGACGTAATGCTAGTTCTGTACTGTAAAACGGTGGGCCAACATTGGTCTTATACACCTAGTAACTATAACGTTTCCTCAACGTTCATAGCTATGGTGTCCAGTTGAGTTTCTACATCTGATACTCATTGGATTGCAAATACGGAATTAGGAATTTGGTTGTCAGAGAGAGTGTCCATATGTTGTTACATGATAATAATATATTTTTTTTCAAAATTGTGAATAAATAATAAACAACTTCAGAATAAAGTAACGAGCTTTGTTTTCTTTGACGTTGTTACAACGTTAATTCATTAAGTTGTCGTCGTCGCTGGCTTTCAAGATAACGTAGAGACGATAGTAGGTGTGGTATGGTCAACACGTATTTGGTGTCCGGGTCTATATAGACTGATTGCAAGTCTATGTGTGTACAAGTGTTGTCATTTCTGTGTCTACTGCATTCTATATACAATAGAGCTTCGATTCTTTCCCGAAAAAAAAATCAACTAATGTTCTTAATTATTGAAAAAAAATGAAGAATTACACTCTCCGGATTATCATAAAAGTCCGTATTGAGAAACTTCCATCAGACAACGTAGATAAACATCGACTTATATATAATTACCAGTTTCTCATAATGGTGCCGCACAATTTATATAAAACCTAATATCCTACATCATTCATTGCTCCAAACTCGTGACAGTCGATAATTGAATTTCGTGTAATGGGCGCCATGTTTATAGTTTCTTATAATATCAAGGCATAGTTGGCAATGTAGCTTTCCATTGAATCGCTTCCCATCATTACACAGAACTATGTTAAACACGGCGTACATGAACCTAGATATTATCATAGATAGGCTTTAAACCACAAGGCGTGACCGATAATGCAGTCTTTCCATGTACACGTACATTGTGACGTCACAGTAACATTGTTGTCCTATTGAAATGATGGTTCAAAGAGGTAACCGTGCAATTTAACGTAGCTATGATGTAGATAAGTATGATAGGGAAATGAAAAAGGGGCGAGAACCAGGTTCAGTGCCGGTTGGGGAACTACGGGATGGTCTGGGGGTACATTTTGTGTATCTGGTGGGAACTTATAAAGTAGTTAGTGAACGCAGCCCCGCGTCACAGGGTGCAGTGGCTGGAACAGCACCATCCCATTATTGACAATTTCCTAGACGTAAACAATTGTAGTATGGATCTTGTCGTCTAGTAAACACGAGGATATTTACAGGAAGACGTCTCGGTTAGGAATCAGATTAACACTACGATAAATATTTATAGTCCAGAATAAAATCAACTTCCGGTATGGAGAGAGAGAGATAAAAAAAACCATAACGATTCTAAACGATCTATTAATGTCAGGAATACTATGAATGTTCTAGTCGTTATAACGGATACAGCTGTGGCAAGTCTGTGATACGCTTAAACCGCTATCTCTCAGCAAAACACCATCGTTACGAGGATTTCCTCATGCTCATCACAAAATCAGGGCAAAACGGTTAAAGATGCTGTAACACATAACCTGGAGGATTCCAGCGCCCTTATCATTTCGTGTCATATATTGATCGCTACTGACGTCAATTGGTGAAATGAGGCTACGTGAATGAATTACGTTCTTGGAGTGGGAGGAGGAATATAAAACTTTACTACATTTCTCCTTATCTTTGAAAGTTACGAAAAAAACGTGCTGTGTATTAAAAGGGCGTTTGGGAAGCTGATAACCATTAAAGATAGAACTGCTCGGCAAACATCTGAAGGAGCAATAAGCGCTGGGTCGGATGATAATGGGATGTTCCCAGTAATGCATCCAGACAATTCAGTCCCATCCCATCCGATGCGCTGCTTCGCGGAAACCAGTACATGCTACTTTGATCCAAAAACAACAGGAAATGGAAAAACCTCCACACCCCAAGGTAGAAGGAACCCAGTTATAAAACAAACCGGGCACAAGGGAGGCAACGATATGTCGTAAATTACATGTGTAAAGACATTCAAATTGATTGGTAATTGGTCAGTTTTATCACTAATTTCCATCCCTTGGTAACTGGCAGGAAGCTTGAGAAAAAGGAAAACTGAATCTCTTACACGTCATAAGTCATGTTTGTTCGGAATGTTCGGTGGTGAGAGAGTAGCGAACGGAGAGAGGGAGGGAGTTATTCAAGAAGGACGGAAGGATATGGAGAGGGAAGAGAAAGGGGTGAGAGAGGGAGGTAGTGATTGAGGAAGGGAAGGAAGGAGAGGAGAGAGAGGGTTAGCGAGAGAGGGAGGGAGTGACTGAGAAAGTGAGAGACGGAGGGAGGAAGAAAGAGAAAGAACACACTATATAAATAAAAACAAGTGTAAAAGGCAAAATAAACAAGACGTTACTCCATTAATGGATCCGTTAATAGGACCTCCCCTTTTTAGTGAAAAAGATTTGTGAACGGG